CATAGAATGTGAATTTGTTTTCTATTCTCAGACACACAATATGTCGAAGGCGTATTCCTAGTTCACAGCAGTCGGGAATTTTCTGAAACATACCGCCTATCTGCTCTTCACTGCTATATCTACTTGTAACAAAGCACTGCAGTAAGTACACACCATGGGGTCTACAGAACCTGAACGTTCCCTCAACTCTGGCATATCTCTGCCACAGTGGATGAAAACCAAGATTGGAGATAGGTGAGGAAGTTTGATTTTTAATAGAACAAATGATACCATTGCTGAATATAGCTACTCAAAAAACTGTGAGTTCTGCAGTCAGTAATTTTATTTTACCCTACCAGCTTTTCTTCCCATTACTGAATGTCTGGGCCATGTCGGTAATCCACCTGTTTTATGTTCATTAGATCTTGGGTTCAAATCTCAGGCTGGAGACTGGTTATCCTGATTTAGGATTTTAATATCTTCTGCCAGACAAATACTTTGATAGGACCTCAGATTAATCCATGACTCTTTCCTTCCACATCCTTTTTAGTTCATTTATAGTTCCCCATTTCATCATACATTTTACTTTGAATTCTTCAGTTAGCATTATGTGCTGTATTTGCTCTGAAGACCACACATAATTTTTGTAAGATCTGAGGTTTCCACTGCGGTGACTATGAAGAATTTTTTGTTCTCTGTTAATGTGTATGTGTTTTAGCTGTTGAAGGGAAGTAGATGGTTGAAACAGTTAAGTGAACTGAAATAATCAAACTATTTTTCAGTAGAAAGTTTGTGTTAGGGCTGCTTATGTACAACTTACATAGTCTGAGCTATTTACAGCATTATTAATAAACCATAAACATGAGCACAAATTTCTCTCTTTTTGATCAGCTTCCCCCACATTTTGTTTCTTTCTTTGATGATATGTCACTGCTCCCTCCATTGTTTACTCTATACTGAATCCTGCAGAATAGTGCAGGTATCCATCTAGCTGCTGTAGCTATAGAACTCTAGATTCATGTTTGTGGGGTGCTCATGTTGAATCTTGGCTGGGATACTGGCTCTCCTGAATAAGGTTTTATCATGATTTTCTGAAGGTCCCTTAGATAAATGCTGGGATAATGCTTGATTTAGGCCATGGCTGCTTCCAGATCCTTTCCAATTCATCATTCATCTGTCACCATAAAATTTTATGGTATATAGTCTAGCTGTTGATGCTATAAAATAACTCCTCCCCCCAGCTTGGGAATTAATGAGATATCTAGGTATTTAGAAGGTTTAGGCTAAGGAAATTGCTTCAGATTGCCTTTTTATAATTGTTGAAGCTGTGTACTGTTTCATCCAGTCATTACACATATTTATTTCGCTCTTCTCATACATATAGCAGTACACTGCTTGTGCTTTGCCCACCGTGTGCACATCACTAGTTACTGCAGTTATAGTAGTAATTGCTAACTGCACAAAAGGAATGGTGTGATCTTTAATTTAGATTTACCTTTGCATAATACTTATTCTGAATACCAGTTAAATAATATATTATGGCTTATTTCTGTCATCCTGTAAGAACTGGGGAGTATGAAGAACTAATGTTGCAGAATTTAGCGTGACGTGGCATTTTGTTTTGGTTGCGACTTGAAATTAATGTGGATGTTCATGGCTTCAGAGATATGAATTAAATTTACTAGTCACATTGCAAAAGCCATTTGCCTGTAACTTCTTATGATTTATACACATTTTATACAAACTTCTGCTTACTAACTGCACGTGGTGATTACACAAACATATTTCTGGAATCATTTGACTGTCAAATTTATGTTGTGCTTTAAATTGTAATTTGTTATGTAGTGTGCTTGCATGAATGCATATATCTGAAACTTACACAGATATTTGCAGTTTAATAATAGTAATAATCATAGTAATAAATATACAGAGATTCATGTTGGTTAATATGTAATTTTAACCAAATTTTCAGTCCTTCTTACACATAAATTAATATTGACAGGTACGACCTTGATGGAACCTTTTCACCACCATCACATGATGACAGTTTCTTCTACATACGGTACCCAAAGACTGACACCTCTTCGCAGCGACTCCGAGAAGCAAACTTTCGCCAAGCCAGCGAACTGCTAGAAACATCAGAACAAATATCAAAACAGGATTTCTCACAGCATACTGTACAGTGTCGTCAATTCATCCCGATGGATTCCTCCACTCCAGGTGAGTGGTGAATGAATGTGTTTCGTTTACACTGTAGAAAATTTCCTAGAAAAAAGTGTTTATTTTCCTCTTTGTTATAATACACCTTTACTGAAGCAGATATTGTTAATGTGTATGATAGCGTGATTTGTATTTTATGTTATCTATTCTTGGGACTGGAAGTTGTGATCTAATTGTTTACATTAGTGCCTATGGATATGTGCTGTATTTCTTCATGAGGTGGAGAATATAGATGAAAGAAAGTAGTAAATAGAAATAAATAAAATTTTTGCAAACTGTAATTTTTACCAAGATGTTTACACACTTCATTCTTTTGTATTAGGATACAAATATTTTTGTTTCCATTGGATGTCACAGATTTTACTCATGTAGTATGTTTCATCACATAATTGTTTCATCTGATGTATGAGAGAGAAATAAGTGATTATTTTTCTGTGCGTAATGACTTCTTGTTTACTTAACAAGATGGTTATCATTGCTTATGATGGATTCTCCCTCTTATTCCTCCTTACTCTAATAAACTGATGGCATTCATTTGTTGTGGAACAAGTTGCGTAGGGAGTCAACATAATGGGTACACAACAACATACTTAATGTCTTAATGACCAATCTTATTTTCATTATGTAATTTTCTCATTAACCATTATTGTACTAGCCTTCAGTATGCATTGTCCATCTGTATTCCCTTCTTGATGACAGCAGGGAGAATGAAAGGAATAGAAATGCTCGCACCCAAATGTAATGTATTCAGAGTTCACAATTATCATCATCACAACAGAAAAGGAAAATGTGGCATAACAGCTATGTTAGGATTACTTTGTAGGAAATGCCATGTCATCAGTAAAATATATAGGACAGTTACAGGAATAAAGGAGTTATATGCATGTGGCTTGGTCTTGGCAGTGTTGGAACTGCCCACATTCAAGCAAACATTACAGTGACAGTGCAAGTATCATTACTTAGCAATGGCGAGTAAACACTTGTGGGAACTGCCCACATTCAAGCAAGTGTGACAACGCAAGCGTCATTGCTAAGCAATGACAAGTAAACAACGATTGCTAGGCAAAAGCGAGTAAACAGCTGTTGCTAGGGAACTTATAAACACGGTGTCCAGCAACAGCAGTACCTATTACGTAACCGTTTTCCATATGTCCGACTCTAGGTTATATAAGAAGACACGTTTTCCTGATCGCTTCAACAGCTGAGCAGCCATCTCCGTGGGGGGGGGGTGATGTGGGAAGTGCCCCCATTCAAGCAAGTGTGACAACGCAAGCATCATTGCTTAGCAACGACGAGTAAACAATGGTTGCTAGGCAAAAGCGAGTAAACAGCGGTTGCTAGGGAACTTATAAACATGGCGTCCGGCAACAGCAGTACCTATTACGTAACCGTTTTCCATATGTCTGACTCTAGGTTATGTAAGAAGACACACTGAGTGGGAGCAACAGTTGCAGTTCTAGATTCTACAGTTCACTATTGTTATTATCTGTCTGTGTATACTGTGCAGCTGCAATAAATCCTATAGGACAGTTCAACTAGTGGTTGTCTCTTCATACGACATCCCACACACTCATCGATAGGTAAAGTCTACAACATGTGACTGTGTGAAGCACCCACAGTGGATCGAGTGCTAGCCAATCACAAGCTAGGAACCTCTCGCTGCTTAGAAGCGGCTGAGTAAACAGCCGGTGCTAAACAAAGCCTGCAACAATACGGACAGTGACATATTTTCTTTAGGTCCGACTCAACGTTAAATAAGAAGATACATTGAGTGGGAGTTTGGAGTTCTAACTCAAGAGTCGTGTTTCAGTACTGCGTCCAAGGTGTTGCAGGATTCATTGTTGTCATTATATTATTAGTCTTCAGCCAATGACCTTCAATTCTTCGAGTTTGTCTGTGTATATTGTGCAACTATAATAAATATTTGTAGAACAGTTCAGCAAGTGGCTGTCTCTGTTATGTTGGCAACTCTAATGTTAAAATATAATGCTATAGTTGGCAACGTCATAGTAAACAATTTTCAATAGTAGAGTGGAGTCCATGCGCTGTTCCTAATTTCTCAATTGTTATGTGTTACCATGGTTATGTGTGTGAATATATATGAAACACTTTTTGTGTATCAAATATTAGTCTTAATAAAGCAGGGTTAAATTGAAAACTGATTCTTACTTATCATTAGATCCACGTAGAAGTTAAAATAACAGTCTTGTCATGTATCGACATCCCACAGCAGTATTTATAAGCATTATAAAATTTTAGATGTGTGACTTTCTTGCAGTTTTGAGTGTAGTTACTTTGAGAAAAGGTGAAACAATACTGCTCTATATAATCTAGCTTCTCCTGGCTTTAGGAAAGCATTCTTTTGAAAGGCACATATGAACGATTTTGTGATGTGTGTTTCTGCAGGGACAACAGAGCCTGTTATGAGCGCCTCCAGGAAAACAACCCACATACTGAAACCTGCAGGAACGGGCGATAACTTCACTGGTGACACTGCAGCTTGTGGAAAGTCTGTTGTGCAGGTTGCACATGAGATGATTGCAGGATCCAAGTTGGTCCGTGGCTTTAGCACAAATGGTAATGAGAAGGCAGCCACAGGAGAAGGCTTCAACAGAGGCATGCGCCGTGGAAGTAAGTCTCTACCGGCTAGTCCCCTCGGATCGCCATCACATAGTCCTGAATCATCCCCACAGACACGCAGGAAGGTACACAACAGGTATTTCACAGGTGCTTTTGCCCTAGAAAGAGCTAATATTCATGCAACTGATGTACAAGAATCTGCAAATAAATATCCTGGTAGCTGGATTTTGTCTGGGCTGCTAGGGCAGCAGCAGCGTGATAATTTGTCGGATTCAGCGGATTCTTTGACTATACCAGAGGGTGAGCAGGAGAAAGAAGTTCAGAAACCAAAGTCACATGGTGATGTTGACCCGTTGTCAACGGAGATACGCCGCAATAAGTCCATGACTACTCTCGTGTCAAAGATATTCAGCGAAGTTCCCAAAGATGATCAACACGTTGAAGTTGGGGTGGATGTTACTGCTGTCAGCGGTGGATGTGACTCACCTACGCAAAAGAATAAAACATTCCGTGCGAAACCATCAGAACTGCGGGAGATGAATTTTTGGTCACCTACTTCAATGTAGATGCTTAATGAATACAGTATTCCATGTTGTACCTTACGATATTTCTGAATTTTTGGTCTTCTTTGTTAGTGGTACGCTATAATTCATTATGCTGTCATTTGCTTGGTGCATTGATATTTCTTTTGCGTGTCTTATATGTGAATCTGTTGTACATGATTATTTGAGGTGCCTGTTGTCCATATGGTGTGTAATTATTGCTGTGTTATTATGTTTATTCCTCCTCCTCGTTTACTCTTGTCTTCAGATGTGTGTTCTTGTCAACATAGTGCCCTGTTTATTTTGCCACAAGGAATTTGCTACTAACTTCAATCTCAGTCTGACTTTCTATCCACAGTACTTGCTACATAGCCTCATGTCTGTGCTTTTAATACAATTATAATATTACCTTTAAGAACTGATTATTTTATCCTGAATAAACCTTATTTTTATCCAGTATGATTACTTTCCTAGGTTTGGGTTTTATGAGGGTTTACTTGTAGAGAGATGTACTTGTAGGACTTCACATATTCTGTAACTGCCTTGTTTCAGTTTGTATAGACGTGGCAGTATTTTTAACTTGTTATGCTCATGTCATGAATGCCCTTACGGTTTGTTTCAGTAGATGACTAGCAGGAACTGGTGGCTGTGGTCACTACATTTCTATCTGCCTCAATAAGTAGTTTCATTCGCCTTCTTATTACAGAAACAGTTTTATTGGCCTGTAATTATGAACATGTCCATATTTTAATGCCTTACAACCCACTTGAGTTTGACAGTGGTGAAAATAATGCAATGTAGAAGTAATAACTAATAAATAATAATAGTAGTAGTAATAATATTTGTTATTTTGTTTTTCAATGCTCCTTTAATCTGTCTCCTTGTAGTCTCTTTATACATGTTTGTGTGTATGTAGATAGGTAAGTACTTTGTAACTAGTGAAATCTACATTAATTTGTGGTAAAGGTAAAAGATGTAAAGTTGTTGCTATGCTTGAATAATTGAGCACTTTGCCATGAAAGTGTATGAAGAAGTGGATGTGTAGATCGACATTTTCTTAACCTCACCACTAGTTACAGGTTGGTACAAGATGTATTCATTACGTTGTCTGTAATATGGTGCAAATTGATCACATGTTGGTCCAGGGTCGAGGGTATGTAAATATTTTACTGCAGACTTTTATGAGATAAACATATGCCAGTTTGCTCTCTTAGTCTTCTAGTATAGTTTTATAATTTTAAGTTAACAGTTACAGATGCTGTATTTGTATGATATTTTATTACATTGACTTAATGTGATTTCACATTGTTCTAAATATTTATGTTATGCCTATGCCTGTTGCAGTAATTTTAAAGTAAGATTTGTATTAGCAGTTGACACTGAAAATGAAATTGAATTTAAAATATCCTAGGTTTTTTGTATTACATATAACTTACGTTTGTGCGTGTGATTACACATGTAAGGTACAAATGTCATGATAGCTGAAGATTTGTTAATTCCTACTTAGATTTGAGAAACAGCCATTTCAGAAGAATATTATTTAGGAATTTAACTGGACCCACAGTTGATAACAGAAGGACTGATAGACAGTATTTAAGTAACTGAAATTATGACAATTTTCATTTAGAGGTGCCCAGCTGGTAACCATTTAACTGCAGGTGATGTAAATGCCTGAAGTATTGTTAATAAATGTTAAGATAAATTCAGTCATGTTTACAGTGTTGCTTTGGTAGTTTTACTTGTTTTCTTATTGAGCTGTTAATTAAATATGACGTGGATATTATGGGTGTAACACTATTTAGTGTGTATAGAATAAGAACCAAATTTTGACTTATTTAACATTTGATGTGTACATCTTATTTCACTTAACCTATAGGTGATTTCTTGGATATCCACGAAATTAATTTTAAGTTATTGATTTGTTGAGCTTTGAGGCATCATAATTGTTTGATCTACTGAGGACAGTGTTGAACAGTGTCGATTGTGTTTCACAGTCCCAACAGCAGTTATTGTAATTTGATTTTTAATACTTTTATGTATGAGAACTTCAACCCTTTGACTGTAAAGACCTGCTATAGAAGTAACTGCCAGAAATTCCAAGGTTGCTTGGGGATAAATGCAGTTGCACAGAAAAACTGACAGTACCTTCTCAAATAACCCTCAGATTTTTACATGTATAGATCCTCTGAAAGCCTATTCTTTCCTCTAAACATTGGTTATAACACTTGATGGAAACTATTTATACAAGCCTTACTAATTGATTAATAGTGGGTGAGTCTCTTTTACTGTTGCAGCTTTAATTTAAGTAACCCAAGCTAATCTAATTGGCTGATGCTGTGCAAAGGATTAAAACTATAGTGAACTGAGTTTACAGTAAACTTGCTTATGAATTTCCAAAATAATTACCTTGTTTAGAAATATATCACACACATTGCATTCAGTGGCGGCTTGTAGCTGAAATTAGTGGGGGTGCTGCTCCAGAAAATTTGTAGCCTTTGTTTTAAAATTGTATAAAAGGAAACAAACATGTATAAAAAGAAAATTTATTCAGAAACTTGATAAAATCCTAAAAGAACAAAATCGAACATGTTTTACTTACTTTAACCTAAATTATTACAGTTCAAGCTTAATCTATTCATTTAAAAATGAAATCCATTCTTTTTAACCTTTATATTATACTCATCGATTGAAAGTCTGTATGCCTCACTAAGTTTCTCCTTAATACTTACGGTTCCTAAAAGTGACAGTGAAACTACATTATTAGCGTGCTTCTTTGACTTCTCATGCTTTTCAGTTTGTTCTTTCATTTTGTTTATATTTCTAAAACCATCTTTTGTCCACGTTACATGACCCCCAAACAGCAAACACGGGAAGCAAAACAGTGCATTTTTTACTTCACAGCTGCAAAGCCAACTTTTCCGTTTGTACCATTCAGAATTAAAGCTACGACTATATTTCTTGTTCTTGCTTATGCCTGGCTGAGATATTAGAATATCATGTGTTAAACGACCTCTTTCTTAACTGCAACTTTCTCATGGAGAGACAGGTGTGAAAACTTAAGCTGTTGGAAGTTCACTTACAGTCACAGAACTTATTTCTCGGGGATGCAAGGCCATGGTTAAAGTTTTCTGTTAAATAGAAGAACCAAAAAAAAATAAAATAGAATAGCTGGTAGCAGGATAATAATCTAATTCTACAATTAACTCATGTTTTTTAAGCACAACACACGCGGAGTAAAAAAAAAACTACCTTCCACCAGCACACTAGGGTTGGCACTGTCGTTCCTGCAGTGCTCCCTCTCCCTTGCACCCTCACGTGTAGCTTCCTATGTGGGCATGTGCACAGTCAACGAACACCTAGCCGCTGGAACTGTGAAACTCACAGTTCCATACAAAGATTTGGCTACTGACATTAAAGTTAAGGATTATATATTGTATTGTACAAGTATAAAGAAAGAATTAAAGAAAAAAGGACTCATTATATAAGTGTTATCGATAATATCAAGTGGAAATTAGGGGTGCTGCAGTTCCGCAATGCCTATACACGGGCCGCCCCTGATTGCATTGTACAATACTGTATTTGCCGTTCCTGGGGGCTCATAGGTTTAAGAATCCTTCAGTAGGTGCGTGGCATGATAAAGTGTTTTTCCAATAAAATTTAGTTATAAAAGAAAGATTTTGTGATGAATTACCCAAGACTGGTATGAAAATTATAACTGATTTGTGAATACATATAATAAAATTTAGTTTTTATTACCCAATTTTTTGTAATATCTTGTATACCCAAAATCAGAGGCTGCGCCATAGCTCAAGCGGTTAGTTGCTGGCTTCCCATTGTGGCGGCCCAGGTCTGGTCAAGTGGGATTTGTGGTGGACAAAGTGGCGCTGGGGCAGGTTTTCTCTGAGTACTTTGGTTTCCCCTGACAATCTTCATTCCACCAATTACTCCACAGTCACCCTCACCTATCATCTGGGGCTGGTACAATAGGCCAGAAGTGGCCACAGTACAAGGGACAGTCTCACCCCACTAGCAATAAGAAAGAAAGGTACCCAAAATCAAATGCTAGATGTACAAGTACAATTGATATTGAGGTCCATTGAGCACCAGGGTTGGTTCATCCAGCAGCAAGGGAATGAAACAGGCTGCTCACCTCTATCAAATGCCATGATTAAGAATATGTGGAGCTATACCCTCCATACCCTAATACTCATACATATTCATGGCATGGTCCACAGGGAAAACCTTATTGGGTTATGCATCACATCAGATATGGTTCCTCAGTTTCCATGGGCCTGTAATGTTGAGTGCGGCTAGAATTTCCAGTTAATTTCTTTCCTCTGTTGGTTTCAAGTTTTGCTGCTAATATGTGACACAAGGTGTGAATTTCATTACAGTTTACTGTCTGGAGTTAACTGTAAACATGGTGTTTTAAAAATAGACATGTAAAACATACTGGTACTTATTAACACTGAACTAAGATTGTTGACAATTAACAGATAGTATGTATAGCCTCATATATGTAACTTAGCCTTGGGTGTATTTGTGGATTATACTGCAATGAACTGAATCTCTGAGTTCCTTGAAATTGAGAGAGCTTGAGCCGAGCTTTTTCATAGTGGATACGATAACATAATCAGAATTTCTGGTTGGACTTATTTTTTCGGTAAACAATAATCTGAATTTAAAAAGTAAATTAATTGGAAACCATTCACCGGTTCTCTCCACCTTTGGTTATGCCATGAATTGGGTTTAATATAGGAAATACAAAATATTATCCAAACCACACTGACCAAAATTTGATATATTTTTTCAGATTTCAGGAACATAACATGAAACATTGTTAATACATTCAAGCCTTCTGGTGATGGGTATAATTTCTAAAACCTGCAGTCTTTTTGAAGTGACATAACTAGAGTGAATATTGGACATGTGCATAAATAATAAGAGTAATGGTGACAGAAACATTTTTTTGCTGTTGTGGTTTGGCTGTCCTGTACATGTTTGAAATGGCCAGGAATTGCAAGGGATTCGACAGTAGTGTGGCAAATGTCAAAAACAGTTTGTGTGAAGTTGCATGACAACATTTTTGTAGCCAGTAAATAGACCACAGTTTAATTTGTTATGCTCAGGAGCAAAGTTGACCTAATTCTTCCAGCCGCACTATGGCCCTGGGGTTGACGCAGCCACTAACCGAAATGAGTACCAGCAATCTTCCTGGGAGTAAAGGATGGCCAGTGCAGAAGGCTGGCAACCTCACTGTCATCTGTGAGCCAATTGTCTAGAGGAAATGTGTGAACCTCGACGTCTCACAACCCTATAGGCCTTCACAGCCTGTTACAGGGATAGCTTTACCTTAACTTTTACCTGTATAGTTATTAGGCTGTGGAACTGGGGAATTGGTATCTGATTTCTATCTGGAGATGCCAGTTAACGTCAGTGGCATCCAGACTCTCTCTGGAGCCCACCCAGCTGGCCATCTATTGTGGTCTGGCATGGGGAACCCAACTTCAGTGTTCTTTATAGACCAGCATAACCTGGTGCTTTAGTGCAGGGTACCTTTCCTACTGATGCCATTTTGCAGTGGTGCTGCAATCCACACTGCAGACATCTGTTTACCTGCAATAGAGCACCATGTCCATCTGCCTGCATAGTGTTGAGAGACCTAGTGTAGTTTCAAGTCCACCTAGACCCTTACACGTTCTCAATCATTGTCTTAGTCCAGAATCTTGATGACTAATACAGTCAGAGATATGTTTTTATGGTACTTTTGTGAAAGTAAGTTGTATGAAGTGAGCCCCTCCCTATGTACGAGTATGTGGAAATTTTGGTAGTGGGAAGGGTCCCAGTTTGATGCAATAGGACAGGAGTGGCCAAACCTGAGACTTCTTTCAAAATATATCTGATGCTAGATTACTTTCGACCTTGGCAGGAGAACAGACATATCCACTGCTTGTTTCTGTAGTTCCATGTTTTGTTAGTAACTGAGGGAGTTCTATTGAACAGGGTATACACAAAAGAACGGTGCAGTTTCAAAAGTTAATAAAAATTTTATTTCTCAACTTACATGGTCACAACGCACACCATCAGAAGCGGCAACTCTCCAAGTTTCTCATGCGTTAATTATAAACCTTCAATGTGTGCATGCTGGGTCACACGACACACATCCACGCGATAATCAGACTCATCCCAGACCCGTTGTAGCATGTCCGCTGTAATGGCCTGCAATGCATGCATTATCCGATCACGAAGTTCATGGATTGACGTGGACAATGGTGGTACATAAACGCTGTCTTTAATGAACCCCCAAAGAAAGAAATCGCGCGGTGTAAGATCTGGCGAACGGGGTGGCCAAGGGAGAAGGTTTTCTCCATTTGCAGCAGAGTTTGATTACCATATGGATGTGTGTCATGTGACCCAGGATGCACACATTGAAGGTTTGTAATTAACGCATGAGAAACTTGGGAGAGTTGCCGCTTCTGTGTCCGTTGTGACTGTGTAAGTTGAGAAATAAAATTTTTATTAACTTTTGAAACTGCACCATTCTTTTGTGTATACCCTGTATAATGAGAGAAAAAAGACAGAATAGAGACAATATTAAGTGACTCTGTGGGAACCTGACTTGAGTGCAGAGGTGTTATCCAGTTGTAGCTACACGGTTTTCAGATGTACCTGAAGATTTTGAATACGGTTATTGAAGATAAAGATCTATTTTTTAGTGCAGTTAATGAACAGTATAGAGCCAAAAATACAAGGAGTCATAAATTCTACTATTGGCAGGAAGTAAACTGGAAAAATATCCCACTGGACAGGTAAACTAAATAACAGTTTGAGAGCAGAATGTGAAGGATGAATGACTAGAGCAAAGTCTGCCATTGGACAGAATCCCTCACAGCCCGTCTCCTTCAGATCGACCGTAATGTTACTGGTCCTGCACATGGAGATTTTTCAAGATGTTTCCCCATAGAAGTTCTGTATGAACGTCTTGTCCTACCCATTGTAGTCACATATGCAGTCATTACATTCATGTACATGTTACTGTAGGAACAATACCAGGTTACCTGAATGAATCACAGAGTTCCTCTTTATGCAATATTCACATTTTCATACTTTATTCTTATGTTCAGATATTTTCCCAGTAACTCTGTTTTAAGACACTTTATTGTCATCTATTTGACATACTCCATAACTAACTAACAAATTAAGTAACTCGTTGACTTCATGGTTACGACAGAGTGAAAGTAAATTCAAGCAGGAAAGGTGGCTTCAGAATTCTGACCTCTTGGTAATCACCATCAGCAGAGTACACTTGGTGCTCTGTCCTTTACCTCACAACAACAGGCAGTCAGGAAAGTAACGCAGTAAAGGAGTGTGCCGGTTGAAGCACTTTAATTTTGCGGTATTTGGAATTTTGAAACTTGTACACTACAGCTGTCAGCTCATTGTGAAATAGGTTTTTCAAATTGACACATTTACTTGTATACTGACTTATATATATATATGTATTCTGTAGGCACTGCAATTGAACAGAAGAAGCTAAGTAACCCCATTTAATTGATGTCCCCTGAGAAGTTAAGAACCTGTTACTGAAACCATGTCACAACTGTCCTTAATTCAGAACAAAATTTTGCAGCTACCTTCCATACCTGAAGCCATCTCCATCCACAGCCAGGGCATGCACCAAAGCGTCGTGTCAAGGGCCCCACTTTACACAGTTATGTGTACAGTACTGACCCACTTGACGGTTTAATTTGTGTCAAGATATCGTTGACGGGAGACGGGAAACATTTCGAATTTAATCAGTTTTTAATGCTACATTCTGGCCAGAGATTTTTTTAGTATAAAATGAAGTTATCTCTATACATAGTTAATCACTTCGCCATGACGTGTGGGGGATTGGAGGTGTAGCTCCAACATTTTTAGCTAATGCCTGGGTGGAGGTGAGTGGTCAGCGTCACGCCCTTGCCAGTTCACTGTGGGAAACATTCCCTGGTACCCATTGTATATGAGGTTGGGTGGGTCCCAGAGCCGGTGCCGTTAACAGTCCCAGGGGCTGGGGTTAAATACCGGATGTGGGTTCCAGGACAGAAGTATTCATTTCTACCACAAGACAAGTTCCCATTAGTCAGGGTGACTAATCTCTTGTCAGTGTTTAAGGGTGGCGGCCCTTAAGTGTAGGCTTTATAATCTACCGAGGCTGTAAGCCTACGGTATTTTCACTATTCGTAAACAAGCTGATCTGTTGGCTGTGTTGTACTGTCCAGCTTAACAAGGAAATTTTATTTATTATGTAATCGCTGTCATGGCAGTTCAGTAAGGTCTGTACATGTATTAAGGTGAAAGTAAAGTCCCTGTGCTTAACTAATTAAACACTACGCCGTGAAGACGTAATGGACAGTGGATGTATACATCCATGTGTTCTTGAAATCGGCACTAGGTGGAGGTGAGTGGTCCGCTTTACCGTCTGGGAAAGAGCCCTGGTACCCATTGGATAGGAGGCCGGGTGGGACCCAGAGCCGGTAAGGACAACGTGTAGAGAAGAGAAATCTTGTCCCCTGCCGCCCTGCCCGTAGCCAGTCTATGCCTACTGCTCTACCATGGCTCCTCCTATATGATGATGTGATGTAATTTTATTGAGAGACCGGAGTTCGATACAAATTTCGAAACCAGTTGTCCTGTCTGGGTCTGCCGTATGTTTCGCCATTCTCTGCAAGCGAATTTTTCTGCCGTGACAGAAACTCTTTTATTTCCAATTCATTATCTGTGTCACTACTGGATCTATATTTCCAGAGATTTAAATCGTTAGTCCAAAGAAACTGGATCGTTTTGTCTCTCAGAGTGCGGGGTTGTGTGGATATGGTAATGAACTTGCTGATCAAGGAATATCTTTAAAGCTTTGCTCAGAGGACATGTTACGTCGGTTTACTTCCACGGTTGCTGAACGTCGGTTTAGGAAAAGTGACTACGGCAATCCATGTAGGTAGACCCAGATGTTGGACTACTGTGTAATTTGGCCCTAATTACAGCAACGTTTTATATAGATTTCCATTCATCTTGATTAACTTAATACAGGAATCAGCAGTCAAGCAGTATGTTATGGTATTACTTAGCAAATCTTCTCCAGATATAACGGGTTACGCCCTCTGGCATCTTCGATTCAGAATTAAATTCAAAACAGTTTACATTAAGCAGTTATACAGGGTATAACTGGAAGGTGAGAACAATTTTTGGGCACGAGTTCCACACACCAAAACAAGAATAAATACCCCTATAAACATGTGTTCTGAAACATTTAATTTGCGAATTATAGCTGAAAGAGTACATTTATAACAAGTGCTCAAAATGTTCTCCATGAGATTCAATTTACGCCACGACACGTGTCACCATGGACCGGCGCATCCGTTTAGAGATGGCGGGGCAGTAGCGGATAGTCTGATAGGCATCCATACTGTGATCAAGTGCCTTTTCGTTGTCAACAGGAGCGGCATACGCAAGGGTTCTGTGTGTCAGACTATCCGCAACTGCCCCGCCATCTCTGAATGGATGCGTCGGTCCATGGTGAGACGTCGGGGCGTGCATTGAATTTCATGGAGGACATTTTGGACGCTTATTATAAATGTACCCTTTCAACTATAGTACACAAAATAAATGTCTCCGGACACATGTTGGTTCAGACATATTTTTCTTGTTATAATGCTTGGAACTGAAGCCCAAAGTTTGCCCGCACCTTTCAAGTACACCCTGTATATTGGCCGATTCCCATGTTCCGAATAATATTAAAACGGATCTTAAAGGAATAGGTTGGAAAGATGAGTGGTTTCAAGTGATACAGGTTAGGTTTCAATGGCGGGTTCTTGTGAACACAACACTGAAATTTCTGATACCATAAATGGTTGGAAACTTATTGTCCACCTGGACAATTATCGATTTGCAAAGAAGGACTTCGACGCAGAGTTGGTTATTTATTTACTTAAGTTAGAACATGGCCGCGCTGTAGCTCAAGCGGTTAGTCGCTGGCTTCCCATCGCTGCGACCCGGGTTCGATCCCGGGTCTGGTCAAGTGGGATTTGTGGTGGACAAAGTGGCGCTGGGGCAGGTTTTCTCCGAGTACTTCGGTTTCCCCTGCCAATCTTCATTCCACCAATTGCTCCACAATCACCCCCACCTATCATCTGGGGCTGGTACAATAGGCCAGAAGTGACCGCAGTACAAGGGACTTAGTCCCACTCCACTAGCAATAAAAAAAAATAGAACATTGAAATGACTTTTGAGAGTTTCGAAGTAATAAACCACATAATAGAACGAGTCTATGTGCACTGTTTTATGAACAAACGAAAACACATCTTCCTTTGAAAAATGTTTATTGCTTTCTGGTAAAATAAATAACAGGGTTATATACGTATGAAGTGTGCGGTCATGTGGTTTGTGAGTGCCCGATATTTTGTTCGAGGCACTTCATTGCGTTTCTTTGGGGAAGTGCGCGTCTGTATAGGATATTCTTAATAAGCATAATGGGCACCAAGTCCGTCGAAGGTGAGATGAGCGACGGCAGGAGCGGCGGAGTAAGCGACACCCAATGGAGCGGCGATGGCGGGGGCGGCAGCGTGAGTGAGACCCAGGGGAGCGGCGATGGCGGGGGCGGCATATGTTGCATGAGCCAGAGCAACAGCGTCATTGCTGATACGGGTGTCGTACTTGCGGACGCTGGAGAAGGCAGAGTCAACGGCCTTCGAGTAGTGAGAGACAGCCGAGTTGCCGTCCAGGGTGCGAATGGTGCTCTGTTGTGAGGTGCCGATGGCCGGGGCGTGCACGGCTATAGGGGCGGCAGCGTAGCCCAAGGCAGGGGCACCCAGGATTCCGGCGTTGGCAACGGCCACCAAAGCGGCCAGGACGATAAACTGCAGACAAATCAGTCTTTAGTTGATGCTTGTCTAATACAATCATCCTCCGCTAACCGACGATCCAATGTTTGCACGTCACGGTAGACGGCTGTTATGGCAGTGTGGTAAAGCCGTCTTGTCACTGTTCATTGTCATCACATTTTGCAACTTTTAAAATAAAATTAGTGAAATCTTTGGCCCTACAATGGAAAAGTAAAGCAAATGCTAAAATTGTCTTTGTTAACCGATGAATTGCCAATCTACGCCTTTTTATGGAACTAATTAACGTCGTTTAATAGGTCATGAATCTACGCGACCCAAGGTCTGCGTGTGGCAGGTGAATCTGTGATCACATTTTTTCCTTGGCACTACAGCCCCAGTGGGCCTAGGCCTACCTCCATGAACTCCGTTCCCTTCGGTTTTTCTAGATCTTACACATACCGTAGGACTCCTTGGGCGAGTGATCAGCTCGTCGCAAGGCCTCTACCTATAGACAAACACAGAAAAACGCACACAAACTTCCATGCCCTGAGTGGGATTCGAACCCACGATCCCGGCTTCCGAGCGAACGAAGACAGTGAATGCCTTAGACCGCTCGGCTACCGCTGTGATCACATAGGTACATAAAAACTTATAGGAAATACCTGTTGCTCTTCTGGAAATGTTGATAATATTTTGATATATGATTTGTAGTTTTATTTATCACGGAATTCGGATTAGGATATACAATTTTTTCATTAATGCAGCTGCCTATATGATCTCTGCATAGTTCAGTTCAGTCTACGTTCGTAATCATATCCGAGTTTTGAAATGAAGTTAATGTAATCAAATGCTTTATATGTGCTTATTAAAAGTGTCCGAATTTACAATATACTATGTACGAATATCATAAAATACATTTGAGCAAATTATATTCATGTATGCCTTCTGTTAATTTAAAGCAGATTCATGTAAAATTGGACGTACTTCAGATTGCTGTGTCATAAAATTATGGAAAATATTTTCAATTTTGCTTTAATTGAAATGTGTTTTTTTCCTAGTAATGAATATTAACTCGACATCTTCTCGGGACAAGATATATTTTTATCCTGCAGTATTTTACGGATCTTTACTTTATTATACCTTAAATTAGCCTGTATTTAATTGTATAGACTGTATAGACTATATCGATCATCTAGGACGGTTTGCTATGTACTTTCTTTGAAGTTTTGAGACGCTTTTCTTTAGCGAAACTAATTCAAATTATGTAAATGAACTGCGTTCTGTAACATACCAAGATAGGTCTCCAAAAAGCTTTTTCCATACCAGTTTCCTGAAGAAATTTCTGTGATAGTCACGCTTCATCCAGACATATCCATAAAATATTTGGATCCCCATATAATTATTTTTGAGGTATGTACAATAAATTTTCAAGTTGAGTGAAAACAGCTAATGATCAGTTTTACGTTACCTTATAGACCATTATGTGGTGGATGGTTATTGCACCGCGAAAAGTGTAATGTGCTGCAAGCACATGAAAGCTCGCTTTTATATGCCTGAGTCTTAGTGACCAATGAGCGCTGTGCGAATTCCGAAGCGGTCATTACCGTATATAACTTTCGCTCTGAAGGTCTGGGGTACTTGCAGAAACTGGGCCTTGCCCTTGCCACAAGCAACGGTCCGTTCTGTATCACTTCTGCACCGAGAGCGACTCACTGTCCTCTGGATTCTTACACCAATCAGCCTTGATTCTCTGTGCACGCAAAAATTTATGACATTAAATTCTGGCAGTGGTTATTTAACTCAACATACTACGTGCCTATCGTCCCGCCTCCAGCCCATAAATGTAATTACTAAACTATTAAGAAGGTAAAGTTGTCCCTGCGCTTTATTAATTAATTAGGATATTGGTGGGAAAGCCAGAAGGAAAGCGACCACTGGGAAGACCAAGGCATAGGTAGGTGGACAATATAAAAATAGATCTTAGAGAGATAGGATGCTATGGTATGGGTTGGATTGACCTGGCTCAGGATAGGGACCAGTGGAGGGCTCTTTGTGAACATGGTAATGAACCTTCTGGTTCCATAAAATAGTGGGAAATTTTGAGTACCTGCAGACTTTGCTTCTCCTCAGGAAGGAGTAAGTAAGTAAGTAATCGCCACTCCATGATGATGTATGGGACAGCGGAGATATAGCTCCACCGTTGTTGACCTCGGCACTGGATGGAGGTGAGCGGTCAGCTTCACGCCCTGCTCGCTTTACTTCCGGGGAAAGAGACCACGGTACTCAATATGTATAGGAGGCCGGGCGGGCTCCAGAGCCCATTTGAACACTGTGGAAGAGAGAAGAAATCTCTTACCCTTGCCGGGAACCGAACCCTGTGTGTCCAGACCGTTAACCATCAGCGGTTATTGCATGTGCGTCTGAAACTTTGTCTCTCGCCCTAAGGGAAGGTAGCTGAGGGGGCGTGTGAAAGCGGGGTTCTGAGGAGATTATACCTGGATTCAAGGGAAGTGACGTGACAGGAAGATGGAACCAAATCCAACCCAAATACTCCCACCCTGTTTCTGTAAGATACGTATTAATATTATACTCCCATCTACCCTTAGATCATTCATGTTGTTTTGTAACTTCATGATTTCCGACTAAAATTCTAAACTTCTCTCTTTTTTTTTTATACCCATGATCTCTATTGTCAAGACGTGATCAGTGGTTTTTCCCGCCATCAGAAACCCAAGTGTAGTTATGAATGTTAAGATAACGGAACAGTTGGCTCTTGACGATTAAATTTTTTTATGTACCAAAATTTTCTACTCTTAAATCCATTACTGTTGCTAGTTTCGTGTAAATTCTCCTTCCCGAGTGTCCCTCCCTGCTCTTGCATTCAACTCTCTTGACAATCCTTCCATGTTTTACTTAGGGAAATTATCGAATGCGTGCTCGATTTACTTATAAAAACAATTTTTATATCAGTCAGTTAAGGCATGTAGCGCACAGACAGGAACAATAATAAACCCACGACATCTTAGTATTACATATGACAACATATCACACACTTTACCCTAACTGCTGATATGATTCACTTCCGTACACAAAGGCCTGTAAGGTAAATAGTAAAGCTATCCCTGTAACAGGCCATGGAGGCGCATAGTGTTGCGAGACGTCGGGGCTCCCACATTTTCTAGACAGCCGGCTCACAGATGGCGGTGATGTCGGCCGCCCTTTACGCCCCAGGAAGATGCCTGGTACTCATTTATGTTAGAGGCTGAGTCGACCCCAGGTCCATAGTGCGTCTGGAAGGATTAGGTCAATTGAAAAATGCAGTGACCTCATTTGGAATCGAACCCGCGATCTATCTACCGGCTTGTAACATAGTGCCTCAACCAACTACACAAAGGCCTGTATTGAAGTTATCATTAACGTTCTTATTTCCATAGAAAAACACGTGTTCGTGTGCTTGTTCAGTGCCACTCGCATCGCATCTAATCTATAGGGTTAGCCTAAAAGAAATAGATATTCTCAAAGTTTTACAGAAAGAAGTTCTAATAGCATGGCCGAGATACTTACATGGTTTGAAAAGTACTCCCTGAAGTTTACATGGGCACACCGTTTTACGGGATGCAGCACAACAAACGTTCACTTTAGGTGAATCCCTCACACGCTCTACTACAGCTCTCGGTTTTTCAGTTCCCCATATACGAACGTTGTGTTTGTTCACCGTACCGCTAATGTGGAACGTTGATTCGTCACCGAAAACTGCCGGTTACAGAAATCATTACTTGCTTCATTCCGTTGCTGTATGAACATACAGAATGAGTGACGGAGGATTTTGTCGTTTTCAGTGAGGTTCTGCAATAATTGCAACCGGTAAGGGAACATTCGTAAACGTATACGCAAGATATTGCGCACAGTCTTTTGTGGAACTTGAAGTTCTACACTTGCATGTGTTGTCGACTTTTTTGGGCTGCGCGTGTAAGTTTCACGAGCACGAGTCATTTAAACTGTCTGTTTCTCCTAGGGTAACCCTGTATATTCCGGCTAAATCACTGATTCACTAGCTACTATTTTCAGTGAACTTGACGTCATAAAGAGACTTCTGATGTTCCAAGTCCCATGTCCGTTCCCGTTGCTTAGGGCAGTGTTCCGCAACCTTTTTCTATTCGCGGCACACCATGAAGTATCCATGACTCAACACGGCACACCAAAATATTATTCCCCTCAAAAACGCATGATATCAGACAATTAATATTAATACGTAACGTGATCAACGTATTACTATAATATTATTATATCGTTATTTTATTATTAATAATCAGAAATCGACTAGTGCATTTATTAACAATTAATGAACTTTAATTCACTGTAGAGTGTAGAAAATACACTTCTATTACTATTAAAGTAAATACAGTAACTCTACTCATATCTTCAATGTGATACTTGCGCCTGCGTAGCTGCACACAGGCGACTGATCCGTGGTGGAATCGTTGGCAACGTCAAGTCTCATTTCTTCGTCGATGGATTTGAGCCGCTCCCTCCTTGATGTCTTAATTTCAGTTAACGTCGAGAAGCCCAGTTCACACAAGTATGTAATTGAAAATGGCAATAACACATTAAATGCCATCTCGGGGATAGCCGGGTATCCACTCCTTATTGCCAACCAAAACGTATCCAAAGGCCCTTCGAGAAGTTTTAATTTCAATGTTCTGTCTGCTTTCAAATCTGCGAGTTCCTCTTGTATATTAATCGGAAGATGTTCTGAATTCACAACAAATGAATCACGAACCCAGTCGAAATCTTGTACACACTCTCCAAAATACTTATTGAATTTCTGCTGCAGCATTTCTAAATGTTCTTTAATTGTGTCCATCACCACTTTATTGCCGTCAGCAAGTGGCCATACAGTCGGGGACATCTCAAACGAGCCATCTGTAATTCTCTAACTAGCTACCAAAATTTGCGAACTACTTCAGAGCACAGCTGTGATAGAACTGAAACAGTTGTAAAACGCGGGATCTCTACTCTTCAAACGGAAGAAGTGACACTATACAGCCTTAATTTTGAAATATTTATAATTTTAAATGAAGTCCAACAATCGGTGGGTGCATCGTTACAGGAAGAAAGTCATAAAGTTGAAGAAGCTGTAACTTCTAACAAACAGGGACAAATACCGAAACAGTGTTATAAAAGACAGGAAAACCCATGCTAATCCATGCAGTTTTAGGGAAAAGCACGTACACAGAACATGCGGCAAGCATATCAAAGCAGCAGCGTAGATGCGAAAAAAATAAAAATTAATCAATAATGTAAACTATGATATAACAACAAATGTGAGTAAATACTTTACGTTAAATTTCTTAGAATACAACATTACTGTCATAAAAACTCACAGCATGTAATAAAGAATAAACAAGCATCATCTTATTTAATCAGTACAGTGGCTGAGAATAAAATACAAGCATATGAAACACGGTAAATGGGATAAAATAAAACTAATAAAATTCGACAATTAATTTCTTACAATAGGTAAAAGTTCGCGTCACACCTTTCACCTAGTGACGACACACCAGTGTGCCGCCGCACACCGGTTGCGGAACACTGGCTTAGGGCGTCTCTTAACGAGCCTTCATGCGATAAGGAATTGTATATATTCGCACTTTCCTTCTGCATGTGGAAGGCCGTTCCTCCTATCCAAAACCAGAAGGCTCCTCGCCGTGGTGACAAGGATCCATTCATTAGGCACTGGTTATTATTATGGCTGTGAAATAAGAAAATAAATATATTTGCGGGGGGTGGAGGTTAAGAGAAATGCAAGCACACTTTTAGTCTGAAAACGCGAAGAGAAGAAGTTGCCTTGGGGACTTAAACATTGATAGAATGATAAAGGTACAGTTTTTCCCTGTGCTTAACTAATTAAGCACTACGCCATGAAGGCTTATGGGGGAATGGATATGTAGATTCACATTTTCTTGACCTCGGCACTAGCTGGAGGCGAGTGGTCACTTTCACGCCCCGGCCGCTTTACCCCCTTGGAAAGAGCCCCCGGTACCCGCAGGATAGGAGATTTGGTGGAACCCAGAGCTGGTCTGGACGACGTGAAGAAGAGAAAATTATTTACCCCACCTGGACTCTTACTCCGGCCCCTAAGTCGTCCAGCCCGTAGCCAATCGCTATACCGACCACGTTATCCCGGCTCCTTGATAATGTTCATACTAATATGAATATCACAGAAATAGAATGTGAGGATGCGGACTTGATTTATCTGACTTCAGATAGGGTCAATGGTAGGGCCTTGTGAACACGGTAATAAACCTTGACTTTCCATGT